AGGGGCACCCCAGGGCTGGGTCTCCCCTGTCCTGCTGCCCTGGGGCCTTGGTGTCCCCGGTGACCTGACCTGTCCCTGCTCGGAGCAGGGGGCTGAGGAGACCCTCCCAGAGCCTTCTCCCTCCTCCCCAGGGGCTCCAGCCCCTCTCTGCACCCCCGTGGGGTCCCATCACAGCAGGTCAGCAGCCCCCCTGCCCCTCACAGCCCGTCCTCCCAGGGATCTCCACAAAACATCTCTCCCTCTTCCTTTCCTTCACGGAGCCCCCCAAGCCCCCTTGCACACAGTGACTCTCCCCAAAAACACATCTCCATCTCCCTTTCCTCACAGTGACGCCCCCCCCCGCCCAAACCCACTTCCCTTTCCCACATGGTACTCCAAGACTCCCCCTCCCCAAAATGACCCCCCCAAAACCCACCTCCCAGCTCCCTTTCCCTCAGGGCCGCCCCCCAACTCCCCTCCCCACACCGATCCCCCCCATTCCCCTCCCCCGACATCCTTTCCAGCCCCCCTCCACTGAGACTCCCCCAAAAACTCCTCCAGGGCTCCCGTAGCCCCCCAACCCCCTCCCCCCAACACCCTCTCTCCCAGGACCCCTCCCAGATGTCCCTCCAAGCTGTCCCTGCTCCCTCTCTCCCTCACGACCCCCCAGTCCCCCCTCAGACCCCCCATCACAGCGACCTCCCCCCCCCTCACCCTCCAGCGTGATGGCGTCCAGCTCCCTCTGCGGCTGCCGCTCGCCCGCCGCCTCGGGGGCCGCCGGGGCCGCCTCCTCGTGCATCTCGACGTCGGGGGGCGCGGGCGGGGGTCCCTCGGGGGGTGCCTTGGCCTTGTCGCCGCGGCGGCGGGGCCCGTCCTGCTTCATGGCGTGACACTGCACAACGGGCCGCCAGGCGCGGCCGGCCGAGCGCCGAGCGCCCGACCGCGATCGGCTCCTCCCGCCGCCCGCTCGGGCCTTTCCGCCTCCGCTCGGGGAGTCCCGCCGAGCCAGCTCGGCAGTTTCCGTAAAGCTTTCGGGTGTTTCCGCCCGGCGCTCGGCTGTGTCCGCCCGCTTGGGGGCGCAGGCGCGCGCGCGCGCGTCCGCGCTGGGCAGAGGCGCGAGGTCCCGTGAGGGGCCGGGACCGGGAGCGGGATTCCCGTGAGGGGTC